CAGGACAGATAACGAAACATTATTGTGCTGTCGTCATCGGCCTTCAAGATTATCATGCACAATTCATTAAAATAACAAACATGATTCTCACTAACATTCAAGAAGTAAAGAAAAAAAAATATGGAATTGGTCGTTCCATTAAAAAATGAAGAACTAGATCGACCATTTCTATTTCTTTTCATTCTTTATGTTCTTGTTTTTTCCGTAAGCATTGAGACACGAAGTAAATGTAGTGATAATAAGGCAGCAGTTCATTACAGTTTTCTTGTGAACACTTATGTAGACTGACAGATGAATAAATTACTCCTAAGACAGTGTGAATATGAATGACGAGCTATGAGAATATATCAATTTAAATGTTAATTAGAAAAGGAGACTTCTAAAAAATAACTACGAGAATTCTTTTTTTTTTTACTCTAAGAAAACATCATAATAAAAATAAAAAAAGCTCAAAGTTTACCATTTTCTGTTAGTTCAGATTGTCCATTTGACATGCTCAAATAATCGTGAGTGTTCAGGAGATTCGTCATTGCATTGAACACAAAAAATTACATGTATTGATCTTCTGATCAAAAAGTCATCTTGCCTATGCTATAGTAATAGTTTTAAATAACATGTATCAAAAGTAAGACGCGGTATACAGTAGCCAATCCTTCATCTTCCTCAATCAATTATTGCAAGCTAATTTTATAGTGTGCATCATAAGTGGCATGAGAGTTCTTTTAAAACTATTTTATACTCCTGCGAGACATTTTGGTATACATGTCATCAATCTAATCTTGGAATACCTATACGGCTGATGTATGCATTAATCATAAAAAGCTACATAAAAAAATTGTTTAACAAAATAGCAATTACATCATATATTTCTAACACGTAATTGATTGGAAACATACAAAAAATGCTGATTTTTCTCATTTTCGATTTGATGAGTTGTAAAGACGAAATTTATTAAATATAACAAAAATATATACGTTAGTGGTATTAACTTACATTCTAAGAAACAATCAATCATTGATAAATAAAATATTCATTTCAATTATTCAGTGTACATACCAAAATTGTAATCTTGAACGATTACCGTTCAGAAGAAAGTTTCTTACTGATCGCTAGACAGAATGTTTTCTTTCTCAAATAATCTCGATTTATATTTTTGAGTTTTCATATGTTTTTTCCGCACAAATCAAACACACCTACATTTACATTTTCCTTCGAATGCAATTTACTGATATTTAATTATTGAATGATTATGATATTGTATATAACAAGGCAATTTTTTAATAATAATTAGCTTATAGATTTACATTATTTATACTTGAAAGTTTAACTTCACATTATTGAAACCAAGGCTAAAACAACACATATGTTTTCCTAATTTGATTATCTGTTCGGACCCACTAATCAAATTTTAATTTATTGATACACCATGTTATTTATAGAACATTGAATAATAATCCAATTACATAAAATAATTAAACCATGCTTGTTATTTTTATATAAATCATCATCATCAGTTGACTGCAAACGAACTTAGTTTGCAGACGACAACAAATTTGTATCAGTTCTTCCTATCTCTACCAGTGTTCTTCATCTCGTCGATCGCTGGCGGTGTGTTGTTGTCGATCAACCATGTGATCTATTCGGAATATTTAAAGTGTAGATGATTCTGGATGCGTTTGCCATGGCTGTATTTTGATTGAAAAAATATGCATGTTAGTAAATTCGTTGGAATCACTGAGAAGACAAATTCCCATAAAAAGTATTTGTTCACATTTTACTACAGGTATCAAGGATTCTTGTTTTGTTTTTGTTTTTTGATAGATGTTGTTGCTTGATATCTTGCCTAGTTTCTTAATGTTGAGCATAATTCTATAACAGCTAATGGTGAAGCTGGTTGATGTGTTTTCGAGCTTGTTTATAATGATCTAACTTTCACAACCGTATAATCAAATTGAGAGACATAAGTCTTGAAAGATATTAACTTAAAGTCCAATTGGGATTGTTGTTCAATTTCAGATGTTCTTCGCTCTCTATGTTTGCTATAGAAATTGCTGGACGCCATCATCAAGCCAAGATACTTAAAGTTGTCGGCTCCTTCGATATGCTGTTCCTTCAATTTTATTGATCTGTTTTTTTTAATGTTTTGATTGATCATTACATAAGTTTTCTTCGTGTTGACTCGAAAATCTAGTCTGTTTGCATGCTTTACTGGTTGTTGCTGAGTATCGGCTGTATAGTGGCATGTTGCTTATCAAAATGTATTCGTTCTTTTCATTGGTATGATCTGATTGCTCGTTTTTCATGACGCAGTCAATCTTTAGTTATGAAGAAAGAAAGTATCTCGTTGCTGAACACCAATTCTTATGCCAAATTCTTCAGAGACGTTACCGTTCACGAGAATCATGTTTCAAGATTTATGATAAATTGTTTCAATTTCTTTCACCATTTTGACGGTTGCTCCATAGAGCCTGAGAATGTCAAACATTGTTTTTCTGTTTACTGAGTCGTAGATTTTCTTAAAATTGACGTATGTGACCAAGATGAATAGTTGTTTGTCGGTTGCGCTTTCAAGAAGTCTACGAATGACATGTATCTAGTCGATACAGGTTTTTCATTTTCTGAAACCTGCTTGATTTATTCTAAGAATTGAGTCAAGTGTCTAGTGAAAAATTTTTAGCAATTAGAATCAATTAAAGTTGCAAAATCCTATGATCATAATCAAAATTAATAGCCTGATTGTTCTGCAACAAAATTCAAATTATAATGGATTGTAATAGAAAATATTAATTAATGTCATTCCATTAGAAGAATCTGCTAACCGATTTACATTGATTAGAATGCTGATTGCAACCAATTCTTACCTGCTAATCAGTTTTAATCATAGATATTGAAAATATATGCAATTTCTTGATATTCGAACCGAAAATCTTTGTTTTTACTGATATTTTTGGGATTATCTATTTTTAGAAACGATGGAAATGGGAGTCATCTAAACTTCAACAATTAAAGTAAAGATTGAACTAGTATATAAATTGTTCCAAGCTGAGATAGTGCAATCACATTAGAAATAGATTAAAATCGAGTAAAAATAAAAAGAAATCACTTAAAATTTGATTAAAATATTTTAATCGATTTCAATGAATTGCATGTACAATTTTATCTTTCTTTTATAGTACTTCTGCATCTATAAAGGGCTTTTGTACCTATTACCTTAACACGTTTAATTAACCTTTTTTTGTATACTTTCTACTTCTGAATAATCAGTTTCACTTTATTACTACCTTTGGAAATCAATTAAACATGATTCATAAACTCGTGATTGATTAAAATCTAGTTATAAAAAAGTTGATCTTTAATAATCTGTTATAAATCCAACGACTGAATTTCTGTTGATTCAGATTTCAATCGATTGAAAAGATTGAAATCAATTTTTTGATTGTAAACGTATTATTATTGAAGTAATCGTTAGTAATCGAGTAAAAATCTATGAATAAACTTTTTACTAATTGAAATATTAATCTATTGAGAAGATAAAAATCAGGCTATAACTGACATAATGAATAAAATCGATTGAGTAGATTATTTTTTCAATAGATTTAAGGATTATAATTGATGTAAATCCGATTATGCTGCCATATATCGATAACTCGGTCAAAAACTAGATTTAAACATCGATAATCAAAACTAATCAGTTTTATTTAGAATAGTTTCTATTGAGTATTTTTGTCTCTTTCCTAACCTGCTTCATTCCTCATATAAACTACTGTTATACATTTGCATTCTATACAGAATCGATAATATGGATTCCTTTCAAATCACAGCGAGACGAATCATCCCACGGAATTTTTTACATGAGTTGTTATCGATCAGGTTCAATAGCAGAATTCGGTAGTTCAATTGTGAGATGTTTATTGATGGAATCAATTTTATCTTTACATGTATTACATGTCTCGATTGACCATGAAAATCCTCGATGCCAAGGAGACAAACGAGATAAGTAGCAATTTGATAGTTTGATCAGACACAACAGTAAGTGAAAAATGAAGTCTCTCTTTTACATTGTTTCCTATCTTTTAGGTATTTTTGTTTTCAACTCTAACTCCTTTTGAGAATTATGTAGTCATTTTTGGGCAAAAAATCGTATTTTTTCAAATTAAAACTCAAGCAACAGTATATTTTTGTTTCCTTCTACTAAATTGCTAGACCTATGGTCAACGCCGTTAGTCACTAATAACCGAATGGTGGTTATACTAGCACAGTTTGGAAATTTTCACTTCTTTGCTGCTCAAGTTTTTTTTCTTGCTTATGTGGACATCGTAGTTTTTATTATGAAGTATTGATATAGACAAGTTCAAGTTTATGTTGTACATAGACCTTTTGATTAAACGAAAAATGAAGTAGAAGATATATGAGATTTTTCATTTTTTTATTTAAAAGCTTTCGACATAGCTTGTGTAATCGGCAAGTTTAAAAATATTTTACAATAGAAAATATAGATAGATTGAAAACAAAGTCAAACGAATCACTTATGATGTCTCTTGGATAAACTAGATTCATTTATTTCCTTTTAACAGACATGGTCAAATACGTAAGCAACAACCAAGTAGTAAGTATTTACAATTATATTTTGCCACTTGTAATAGAGATCGATCAAGTGAAGAACCATTTAAATATCTCCGGAAAACCATTGTGTGTCACCGGCAGTTCTGAAGAGAGAAAAAGTAAAAAAAATAACGTGTACATTGCTGTTGACAGCAGTATTTCATTCAAATCATCACTTACCGAAAAGGCCAATTCTGTTCGAAATCCTTCAACCATTGTGCATTTGACCATAGCTTCAAATCAGTATACGGTGGAATTGTTAAATTGAATTCTTTCATCACCATTCTCATAACATCATCACACCGTGCAAATATTCTCAGTGCACACAGATCGTCATATGGAGTCTTCTGTAAATCTGTTTCAAAGGAAAAAGAAAATAGAAGCGTATATAGAGAAAATCATGAAAACGTCCTAACGAAAAATACACTTACTAACAATGACCATCTTTTTTGTCCAGAATCTACATTCATAGCTGGGAGTTTACATGCAGGTGCAACTCGCATCGACGTTCCCATACACAGACTTAAATCACACAGTTGTGATTCTTCAATTGCTCTATTCAAACGAACGTCAGGCATCGATTGAGTAAATGCAACAGTTGTACAACGTAGACGCCCATTACAATTCGGCGTTGTACATAGGTTTCCCGTTAGCCAAGTTTTATGTTCATAGTTGTGGACATGTCCTTGTCTGTAGTAGACTTTTCCACACTTTGCACAAGCTTCACCATTGGAATTTCCGTGTAGTTCAGCAATTTTGTTCGTTGGTATTACACTTTTAAGATGAAGACCGTCACAATTCTGAGAAACTAAAAATTTAAGATAATTGTTTCTCATTAGTTCGACGAACGCCATATGTGTCAATGTTGGTTCTGGATGGCGAACAGTTTGTGGTGGTGGTGCAAAACCTCTTGCTTGAGCTGTCCAAACACCCGTAGGACCGCGAAAGTCGTTGATGCCAGCTGATGTCGATATACCTGTTTTATTCATGTTAATAGTGAAATTTCGTTTTAAAAGGATGAAGATCACTCACCTGCTCCAGTATAGACCACAAAATGTTTTGCATTGCGAATGAAATCTGCTAAAGTTTTGATTTTTTTGTCAAGTTCCTCTGTATAATAGGATGAAATTGATGCAATTAGTAACAGAAAAGAAAAGTGAAAAACTGATAAATATACCGGGAGTATCAAAATATTCTGTAATTTCTTCATCATTGAGTGCCGTGTGTGCCATGATCAAAAAATTCAACTAATCTTATAGATCTGAAAAGACATTGAAAGTTTATGCATGATGAAATAAAGCTCATTGCATGTCCGAGAAATAATAACATGCGACTACGTTTCTTTCATGGAAGAAATATCAGAAAAACAATAGAACGGCCAGAAAAAAGGGAAAATTGCTTGATGTAAGATTATTAAAACTATCCACTGAGTTCTAAAGTTTTTCTCTCTTTCAGCTATTGACATTACAAGAGACTGGCAAACACATACCAAGTAAGAAGAACAAAGAGTGAATCACAGAAGTTGTGCAAATCCTTGAATTGACTAGCACATTATATATAGAGAAAAAAAAAAGTTGTACGGTGTATATATAAGAGAAAAAAGCGATGATTCATCGACATTTAAAGATGACTTGAAATATCTGACGTCATCTGTAATAGTAATGAAAAAGAAAACCGACACGTATGAGGCATGCTTATGGTTACGCAGCAAATAAGAATGCAACTTTGGAAGGGGAGGCGATATAAGAGAAAAAAAATTTCTGAAAGTGTACGAAACAATAGTTCGTTGCGTCACCAAAAACTCGAAACTATATGTACATTTCGCTTTGAAAAAGGAACGATAGAGAATTTTTCTGGAGAGCCGTACACCGCTTCACATCCTATGACATCCATCCTCATATATTTATTGCAATCACTGCACGCCAGTACATGGTAATGAAAGGGAAACAGTAATTTAACAATTCAACGACAACAAGAGAACGAGGACTGATATATATATATATATATATAATCGACAGAACGAAGAGAGATGAAGAACACTAGAACTGGTGAGAATATATACGAACCCTGAATGACTTAAGATAAGAGAACAAAACTAAGGAGGTCAATGGGGGCACAATACAGCGATAGTTTGTCATCGTATTGAAAAGCATAGATCTATGATGGACATAAAAGTGCAAATCATAATACGTTTCTGCTACGTGCAGACTTGGTCCAAACAGCAGCTACAAAGGAAACTCAAAATCAAAAGAAAGTCGAATTTAGAAAAAAAGTTCTCAGATGCTAGCCCTCGAGTTTTTGAAAACACTTTAACGACAGTTTTTTTGAGTAGAAAACGGAAGCAAACATCATGATAATCATCACCTAGTTGTTGTTTTTTTCAAATTAGAACGTGACGTTCGAATAATAAAATATGTCTAAAACAGATTGAAATATTTTCTAAAACCCTACTTCGTACTTCCTACTTTGACTGTACCTGAACAAATCTAATTTGAGCCGTATAACAATAGCCAGTTCCGATTTCTTTGACATCACAATGCAACATGTGGTTCTTAAAAACTTCAACTTCGTAATCAACGCAGAAGTTCCATGTAGTATGAGGAAGTTCTCATTGAATTTTAAGATCATGAATTTTTTATACTCTAGTAGAGATAGAATAGTGGAGAGAATTTTTTTCGCAAAAAAAAAATATGTAAAAGAATCTCTTTTCAGAAAAACTAAGCTAGTGTGTTCAGCATTCGATGTCGTTTCTAAACATAGTTTTTCGAACCTGTCGGAAATGCATATACTCCTTAATTCTTTCTTTTTTTCTGCTTAAGTTTCAGATAACAAAAAAAAAATATCCAGGTGGAAAATTTGTCAGGACCACAAGGGCGCTAATTTTTGCACGAGTACAGGCATGTTTTGACCAAGAATTTCTTTTCAAATGCATTAAATCTTTCACAATAAATGTGCCAGAGTATATAACGGGTATGAAATAATAACTTTGAGAGACTATGCACAAGTTGACACGTAAAATTATAGAGAATGACGCTTAAAATTGATCGTACACATGACAAATGACATGAATTTCTTTAACATCTCTAAACGATGCCAACATCGGAAAATGTGTGATGTGTAATGTCCATCTATCGTTGCACAGAATGTAATATATTCTTATTAGGCAAAACTTTTAATATCATTAGAATGCTTGATTACATAGTGAGCTATGTTGGTTTAAATGAGTATCAAAGAAACTGACAACAAGGTCGCTGTTATAGATGCTCTGTTAACTGGAAAGAGTATAATCTCGACTTTCAGATTCATAATAAACAAATTCTTGGTAGACTACTAATGGTGAAAAAAAGTTAGAAAACTGAAACGTCCTATGATAGTTCGTTCGATCATTCATGTGCTATGCGATATCATACATAATGAACAACGCGAAATTATTGCTTTGTAGTAAATATAATCTCTAAACAAAGCATTTTTTTTCTCGATTCATTCATATTCCGCATGACCTTTGATAAAAAGTCGTTTGTAGAAACCTCAAGGTGTTCATTCTATGGAACTATGCGTAATGAAGGTGCTATTGTATTCACAACAAACTATCACACGTTTGAAGTATTGAACATTGAATGTGAGTTTCGGCTACGATTCTGAATTCAAGCGTGCAATTTATAAATAGGAAAAAACTTTGCACTGTTACGTCTCGATTAGAAAGGCTATGCTCAGAGAAAAACAATAAGAACGTTCAATGGCATGTTGAAACGAAACAAGTCAACTGATTAGCTAGATGTATGCGTCAAACTTGAAGCCCATAAACCGCTTCATTGGACGGCAAATAGTGTGCATCGTTCCAAAAGGAGAAATGATGTTCGTAGCAGAAGCAGCTTAGTATGTATTTATTGGCTTATGCATGAACCATCACATATCTGCTTTCTGTGTATTCTCTCTACGAGTTCTCTTTTCGCATCCACGTTGTGCTCTCCTTTTCTCATCTACTTAGTTATAATCAAAAAGAAGAAAGTAGTTTGCTTTAACTCTTTTTACTTACGGTGTTTTGCATAATTTGGGCTTGCTAAAAAGAATTCTAAACACTCATAACGCGAAAGTTTGCAGAAAAATTTGGAATTTTTTGTTCACATCTACTTTTCAGTCGATCATATAAAGCTCTTTTGGAGAGTTCTTTTTTTCCATTCTTTCTTTGATCACAATCATACTCTTGCCTGTTGTCTGTTGTGCTTATGCCTAATCAGCTTTGCGTGTTTCTGCTTAGTATGATCTGCAGATTCACTGCCTGAAGTGTAGTTTTACTATTCGTCTGTTTTGTTTTTGTTCTGTTAGTATACGACTTGATCGACATCTCTTATTGGCATGAATATTTCTTTCAAGAAACCTGATTTTGAGAGTGCTTTTGAGGACAACTATTAACATATGATCCGATATGGATTCATTCAAATCGAAGAAAGAGAAGTGCTCTTATCAGAAATTTTTCTTTGATTACGGAACATTGCATGCACTCAAACTTCGGAGAGCAGAATATTTATCACATGCTAGAATCGTACGTGGTCTAGTTCACACTAGACAATTTTTGATTACATTTATTTCACAAACTTTAAAAAAAGGATGGAATATGAGCGTGGGTATATGTCGAGATAAGACTATCACCTACATCCACACTCGACAAGCGAATTCGTGACTACAAATACTATATTTTAGTTATTTAATGTGTTTAAGGATTTGTCCAGCTAAACAGTGATCCAATTGAAATTAAAAAAATTATATTTGAGACCAGCTTTTGAAGGTCTCTCAAATCATATATACAATTGATCGAAAAATAAAATTCACTCGTATTTTGTATTTCTGGTACCTTAAACTTGATACAATTTTTTAGTTCATATATGAGGACTCATCTAGTCTCATGAATTTGTTTATTGCTATTTTTATGAAAGCGTTTCCTATTGTACATATTTGACATGTGATCATTTTCGTAATACATAATCAAATTTTTTGATTATTTTCGACTTTCTTCTTGCAAAGGGTGCGATACACAAAACTTATCGGTCGGCCAAAACCACTAATGCAATTTCAGACTGCCTTTCTTCGTCCTAAAATTAGTCACTTAATACTGGAATAATCTCTACTTTTGTTTATTGTTATCCTGATGAATGTTCTTTCTATTATATATATGTGGTATGTAATTACTTAAGTAACACATGATCGATGTTTTGATTATTTTGAAATATCTATTTTCATAATCAACCATGCTTAAAGTTTTTTACTGGATCAGAACTGATAGAGTAACTGTAAGTCGTCTCACATATCTAAGACTGACTAAATGATATTTGACTACTTTAGTCAAAAGCATTGAAGACCAATTAGCCAACATGTAATGAGTGGAATAGAATAGTTTGATCTTCTTGACTGTTTGTTAACAATAAGCATTGACTAGGTATTCGACAGTCGTTATTTGTTTTTGTTTTCTTTTTAGCAACATTGACAATTTTATTTTTTAAATTTTACAATCAAAATATCTGAAAAAAAAGCAAATTTACCAATTATTTCATAATTAGAGAGAAGATCAGCTAGCCGCTAACATTCAATGATCAAAAATGATCTGAAAAATAGCGTCTTTATCTTTCTAGCTGATTGTCACGCCTATGATATGTTTTAGTAAACTGAAGCTACTGGCGAAAATTGAGTTTTCTCTAAAATTTTTTGAGCAAATCTTTTTTCCGACAAAAAATGTTATACTGATTTGAAGCTTGTAATGCATAGTCGAATAGTTTAACATCCAAGCTTCCACATATCATGCTTTTGAGAGACATTACATTCAAATCACAAAGGTTTTGCTGTCGAACAATTCACTTTTGAAAAGGGCGGAGAGAAGACAAAATCGATTCATTCAAAACTTCACTGCTTCCCCGGAAAAGTTGTGTGCGTATCGCCCATGTTGCTTACCATTAGAATTTCAAGAATTATCGAAATGAAAATGTTGAAATTTTCA